CACCTATATATATACCTACACCACCTACACCTATATATATACCTACACCACCTACACCTATATATATACCTACACCACCTACACCTATATATATACCTACATCCCCTACTACATCCGCTCTGCTTCCTGGTGAACCCTAACACAGCCCATGTGGATGACCCAGGATAATCTCCGTCCTCAAATTCAGTTTACTAGCGTCTTAACTCCATCTGCAATCTTAGTTATCCTTCGCCATAAAACTCAAGATATTCTCAGGTTCTAGAGATTACAGGCCTGAGAATATGGGTATCTTTGGGGAACCATTATCCTGCAGACAACATCTTTTGCCCATTTTCCAACTGGATTGTTTGGGGGTTTTCACCGTTACATCTTGAGAGCTCTTTATGCATTCTTAACTATGAGTGCTTTGTTAGACACTTGGTCTGCAAAAAATTTCTCTCAGTCCATAGTTTGTCTTTTAATGTTCTTTACAAAGTCTTCTGTAGAACGACAGCTGTTTTTAATTGTGCTAAGCCCAATGTATTGCTTTTTTCCTTTTATGGATTGTGCTTTTGGTTTCACGTCTGAGAACTCTTCACCAAGCCTTAGGTCCTGAAGCTTCTCTCCTGTCTTCTAAAAATTTTATAATTTTACGTTTAAATTTATGATCGACTTTGAGTTACTTTTTGATAAGTTGTGGGTTTTGTTCAAGGTTCATTATTTTGCCTTGAGATTTAAAATTGCTCTAGCACCATTTTTTGAAATGGCTATTCTTCTTCCACTGAATTGCTTTTGCCTTTTTTTAGAGAATCAGTTGGCCGTCATTGTGTGGGGCTCTTTCCGGGTTCTCTATTCTGTTTCTTTTGTATTATTGATCTATGTGTTTATGCCCCAACCAATACCACACTGCCCTGATTATTGAAGCTACATAAAAAGTCTGGAAAACAGGTAGAGTGATTCCACTTTAGTTTTCTTTTTCAAAATTGTTTTAGCTATTCTAGTTCCTTTGCCTTTCCATAAATCTTGTCTATATCTGCAAAATATTTTGCTGGGATTTTGCGTGAAACCTGTACATCAATTTGAGGAGAATTGTTAAATATTTTTTTCTGCCTGAATTGATATGGTTGTGTGACTCTTTCTTCATCAGCTTTCTAAGATGGTCAATGACACCGAGGAATGTCTATTGTTTTACCTTTTCTCACTGATTTTTTTCTGTTTTTCCCACTTTGCCGTTGAGCCAACCTTGTGGGTCAGATACAATATTTGTACCTGATACTGTTTCATATACAATAGTTGTTAGTTCTGAAATGTCTAGATGGTTCTGCTTTGTATTTTCTGTTTATTTGCTGAAAGCTTCATGTCTTTGTTGAGACTTTCTATTTCGTCATTTGTTTCAAGTGTGTTTGTAAATGCTTGCTGAAGCATCCTTACCATCACTGCTTTCACGTCCTCATCAGATAATCCTACCATCTGTTATTTCAGTGTTGGCACCTACTGAGCTTCTTTCCTTGTTCCATAGGACATTTTCCTGGTTCTCGGCGTGGCGGATGCTCTTTGATGGAAACGTGGGTGGTGTGTGTGTTATAAGACTCACTCTGGATCTCATTTAAACCTGTCCTCAAGCAGGCAGGCTCCTGACCCCGCACTGGTGCACCGTGTTATTGTCAGCTGGGGTGGAAGCCCATGTTCCCCACACAGCCTGCTCCACCGCGACCCCAAACATGGCCTGGCTGCCTCTTTTCAGCCCCACGATGGTGCAGGTGTTGACTCGCCCCTGAACTTCTGCTGGAAGGCTGGGGACAGGGCCTGAATTTCCTCTGTGCTATTTGGCTGGGGTGGAGCCATTACTGTGGAAGCACTGTGGGTCTTGGGAGGCCGACTGGTCTCCCGGTCCTTAGGCTGGAGAGCAGGCTTTCTCGTATGGATCTGTGGGTGTTTCCAGGTCTGCCAATTTTCTCCAGCACCTGGTGGGAGCCATAAGCCAAACCGCGAACTAGAGGCTCCCAGCCAGGCGGGGCCTCGTGTTCCTTGTACCTCTGCTGCCTCTGCACCTTCCAGAGGCTTCCCATGTTTGCTTTGTCATTGATGACCAGGGCTTTTCGTGGTGCTTAGTGGGAAGAACAGGGGAAAAGATGTCTGCTCCAATTTTCATGCAGTAGAAGAGCGTGCAGGCTCTCTGTGAAACGTGGGGGCACGTGTCCAGCTGGGGCAAGTTTGCAGCAGCCATGGGCACCAGGGTTAAGAGGTCAGCTCCAGTCGCAGGGGCTGGTTGACTTCCCAGCGTAGCCACGCGCTGGGTGGTGACCTCAGTCAAGCCTCTTGCACTGATCCCACTAGGACGGCCCTCCCCGGAGGGCTGGGTCACTTGTCTCTGGCTAATGCTGAGATCACTGGGCTGGTCTGGCCTCGGGG